AATGCACTTGATGTGAGACATGTAGACTTATTTCTAGATGGTTTTTTGCTGTGTGAATGGAGATGATCTCACCCAGAGGAAAGGATTCAACTTGTTCGGCTCACTTCTTCACCAACAAACTTAGAGTCTGAAGGAAGGTTTTGGTGTTCAGGATCGTGCAGTTTCTGATGATGGAGCAGACCTCCTTAAAACGATCAGACCTGCAGGATGTCTGCAGTATACTGAAGGATGTTCAGATGAGATCAGGGGAAATGTTCTGTTAACCGACTCCATGATTGATCCAAACCCAGTAAAAGTTGAGTTCTCTTCTATTTTAGGTCAAAATATTACATCTAATAAGCTTCATTGGGACACAGACTAGGAGACTAGGCTCAAGTATGGGGCAATTCCATCATTAGCTTCTTCTCAAGCCTGGTTTCCTTATATTTAGTAACTTTAGAAAATCCGAGACTCAAACATGCAGGCTGTTGAAAAGGTCAAAGGTCAGCAGGTTCTACACAGATGAAAGAATCTCCTGAGTTTTCATATCTCAATATCTCATATTAAAAGTTGCATTTAATAGGAATTATTCAAATGTTTTAGTTTTTTGATACTAAAAAGGAATGATTAGATCATTTTGGTCTGGAGACCCCTATATGGTCTGGACTTATATACTACATTCAGTCATTCACTCATACACTGATGGTGGTGAGCTTCATTATAGCCACAGCTGCCCTTGAGGCTCACTGACAGAAGCCATCTGAACACCATCAGTAGGCAGTGCGGGTGGAGTGTCTTGCACAAAGACACAACGACACTGAAAGCCGGAGGCGGGGCTCGAACCGACAACCCTCCGCTTGCAGGGCAAACTCCTGCACCCAACACCACTGTCGCCATAGAGCAAGAGGTGGCCCCACTTTGAACACCACTGATCTATAAATATGTCTTTATTTTGAAATTAGTGAGCAGGCGTGTCTGTGTGTTAGATGGCGGTTAGAGCTTAGAGGTATGATCACATCAATTCAT